GGGCACTCCGCTTCCTACCACTCGCGTGTACAACACCAAACAACTCTCCCGAACGTCACGCCCTCCCTGACAAGCCTGGAGGGTCTCATGAAGTCAACGCGTGATGCCCACGTGCACGGGTACGAAAGCAACAAATGCTGCCACACGGAACCACTGCCGCATTGGTGGACAGCAGAAGTTGGATATCGGGTATGGGGGATATCAAGGGCAAAGGGGACAGGGGATGTCTCAAGGCTGCTGGATGTGTCCCCTTTCAGTTTACTTCACGAGCCCCCTCGACTCCGCGATCGGGCCCACGTGGACCAATTGCATCCTGACACCCAATATTACAAAACAATAATGGCGTCTCAATGGGCTCTCATCCTACTATAAAGTTCATATTTACGAAACAGACCAAACACATGCTTCACCGCGCTGGTGAGTGCGGGTTGGTGAAGCGTGGGCAGGCCCATGACCACCGGTCGTATTTTTGCACGCGTCGCTTTGTGTGCAGCGAGCCCCAGACTGTGGACACCGCAAGCAGTGGCCGCCTTGAGAAGTAGGAGGCTGGCGAGCAGTGACGGTCGGGGTTGGGGGGGGGGCGCCACCGCGTGGCCACGCGCCTCCGGTGGGCAGCGACGGGCCCCGCGGTGGCGCTGCTCCGCTGCCACCTGCTGGGCGCTCTGTGAATGAGCGACGCGGCTGGGGTCGCGCCTCTCTCTCGAGTGGCCACCACGGGGGCAAGCGCACGGATTGATTGATCGTGGTTGTGACGGAAGCAAGCGCAGCGATGTCCAGTTCAGATCAGCACCGAGGCAATCGCTAATCTCCGAGTTTACAGTCCTGAGCCACTGGTGGAAATTCTACATTCCTACGGCCACGCGAGTGACAGCCACTGTTGAATTCTCCAGTGGCTACTTGTTTTTTGTTAATCGACCTCGTAAGGAGTATGGGCTGAGTGAACCCCAATAACCAGGATTTGAATTCGCAACATTCCTGCGAGAATTTTAACTTTTTCCGCTGAGCCCTCCGGGTGGATACCATTGGTCTGAACCATGACAAACAATCAACTGAGTCCTTTATATTCTAAACGTGGATATACTTGTCAGAGGTCTGTTTTGCTGTGTTCCGGTTTTTTTAACGATATGAACATTACGATAAGTCCGGCAACCAAAAAAACAAGAAGAGCCATTTTTTTTAATTCGGTAAAAAACACAATATGTAAAGAGCCACAATGCACGTGAATACGAGACGGTCGTCCTGAATAACGTCACGAAACAGTCCTTAATGAGCCGCATGTCGTTCCGGAGCCGAAAGCTGCCGACCCCTGCCCGTGGTAAAGTGGACTTCCATGGTGAACTCGATTTACAGAGAAAACTGGACTTCCATGGTCAACTGATCTTCGTGGTGAATTGGATTTCCATGGTGAACTGGACTCCCGTGGTAAACTGGACTTCCATAGTGAACTGGACTTTCATGGTAAACTGAACGTCCATGGTGAACTGGATTTCCAAGGTAAACTGGACTTCTAAGGTAAACTGGACTTCCATTGTGAACTGGATTTCCATGGTGAATTGGATTTCCATGGTGAACTGGACTCCCGTGGTAAATTGGACTTCCAAGGTAAACTGGACTTCTATGGTGAACTGGACTTTCATGGTAAACTGTGCTTTCACGGTTAACTGGACTTCCATGGTGAACTGGACTTTCACGGTGAACTGGACTTCCATAGAGAACTGGACTTCCATGGTAAACTGTGCTTTCACGGTTAACTGGACTTCCATGGTGAACTGGACTTTCATGGTAAACTGTGCTTTCACGGTTAACTGGACTTCCATGGTGAACTGGACTTTCACGGTGAACTGGACTTCCATAGAGAACTGGACTTCCATGGTAAACTGGACTTTCACAGTGAACTGGACTTCCGAGGTAAACTGGACGTCCATGGTGAACTGGGCTTTTGTGGTATCTTGGACTTCCATGGTGAACTAGACTTTCACGGTGAACTGGACTTCCATGGTAAACTGGACTTCCATGGTGAACTGAACTTCCATGGTGAACTGGACTTCCCTGTTCAGGGGACGGCAACCAAAATAACAAGAAGAACCTTTTTTATCATTTCAAGAGTCGCACTGCAGTCCTTAAAAGAGCCACATTGCGGGTCCGGAGCCGAAGGTTGCCGACCGCTGCACTATATGGTCCAGGTATTTTTTTAATCTCGATGGGTCCTTACCTGAAGGTCATAAGTGCCAGGCTGTCCCCCGCCCCCCCTCAAAATTGTGTGGATATTATCCGTGACCTCGTAAAACAGCAATGCAAAACAGACACGGCTACGTTCCCTGAATGTGAGACTCAAACGCTTTGTGTTGCGACGTTCCACACGGCTCTGCCGCACACGCATCACACTTCACACGGAGTAAAATAAAACTGCAACCGTCAGAACTGAACCGTGGAAAGAACAGCAAAAATAACCGTGGGTTTAAATGATATGTAAATATTTATTTCACAATATTCAAAAATAAGTCTCATTAAAACAGCGTTATTATTTCAATGTTGACAAATTAAATATCCTACAGATAGTTTAGTTCAATGCCAATAGGGAGACTACATATTTTAATAGGAAAAGTGTGGCTTTTTCATATGGAATGTATATGCACTTGTGAGACAAAGTTAAAATACATACATCTAAGCATAGTACTGGTACAATATTGAAAGATAGCAGTGCACGTATATGACTGCATGACAGCATATTTTAATTAAACACTAACCATCAGCAAATGCTATCCTAATCAACTTCAAGAGGGATGTCAAAATAGTTAATATAATCTTGCAAAGATCCTTTGAAACATTTTCAAAGGAAGACAAACCCTCATCACCAGTTGCTCTTCTCGTGCCAATACGCCCCGAGGCCTGTGCGTGCCAGCTTGTCCCACGTAAGCCTTGAGAGCTTCGCTCGTGACAAACGGCTCTCATGAGAGTTACAGGTCGCACCGTAGCGCTCCTGCCGCATCGCTGCAGTGACGTCAAGTTAATAGCTACAGCAGCTATGCACCAATGACATCACTTTATCATGCTTGTAAGTCAATTTAAAAGTCTTAATTTCCGTTCACAGAGTTGTAACTTGTGCCTGGGTACGGATCGACACAAGACAGCGCTTTTGGTGGGTTGCATCTTCCTTCAAGCGAGTAAACGATTTTACAGTTGTAAACAGTTCTGCTTTACTGGTTTCAAACATTTCTGAAAGCCAATGGCTCTGGTCCTTTGTGTTGTTCGCTAACTTGGCCCCGACCATGCCTATGCTCGAGCAGTCGTTCACTGAGTCGTAACAGTTTTTACATGACCACAAGGTCACGACGTCACCGTGTGGTTCAGTAAGGCGCACAAGAGTGGGCCATCTTAGACGTATGCTTTCACACGTGATCTCTGGGTATATTTTCATAGATTTAACCTCAGGAATCGCTCACACCATAGATCACATTCCCACTCCTGCAAAAGTGACTTTGGCCTCAATGGGCTCTCACTGGGTAATCAATTACGTTTATGGACATACGCGCACGTTCACAATTATCACCGGCATCGTTCGGAGGAGACCTGTATAAAATGTGAGCGAGCATCTGTTTCGATTTAAAGCTTTCGTGACTGCAGGGATTCATCTTCTTGGTTCTTTCGGTAAAGTCACGTAGAAGGGAAGTAATAAAATAATAAAAATAAAACATAATAAAATAAACTAATTCTCACGACGTTTCGGCTACAACGCAAGCAGCCGTCTTCAGGTGAAGAATGAGACAATGCCAAGCTAGGAGCTTATATATAAGCTGAGTTGGAGGTGGGAGAAGAGCGCCTTAACAAAAAGAATGTGCATATCAAGAGGAATTTAGCATATTCATGGGAAATGCGTAGGAGGTGGGCGGGGGGGGGGTTCAAATTCATATTATGCCCATGTATTATGCAGGATCAACAGCACAAAGGGAGGGTGCAGGGAGTAGCATTAACAAAGGAAAAGAATGTTAATAGTATGTAGCTGCAGTTACTAAACAACCACGTAGAAAACTAAAGTATAAACTACATAGCATCATCAGTATACTTACTATACTCTACAATAAGCTGAGTTACTAACAGAAAGTAATGCATTACAATTCTACGTCGTAAAAATTATATAATATGCTTCCATCTAAACTTTATTCTCTTATATCACATGAGCATACACCGTACTATATACTGCCATAGACAAACCCAACATTAAATTATAAACTGTATTGCTATAAACCATAGTATAATATTTATATGCTTAATACAATGTACAAAGTAATATATAGTATCGTAATTGTATAGTAAACATATAGCAGTGTGATACACATTAGGGTGGGTAGAATAATACATAGTGTTATATTAAAATGTATAAGGTGGTTTATAGCAATACAGTATATAATTGAAATTTGGGTTTGTCTATGGCAGTATATAGTACGGTGTATGCTCGTGTGATGTAAGAGAATAAAGTTTAGATGGAAGCATATTATATAATTTTTACGACGTAGAATTGTAATGTATTACTTGCTGTTAGTAACTCAGCTTATTGTAGAGTATAGTAAGTATACTGATGATGCTATGCAGTTTATACTTTAGTTTTTTATGTAGTTTATACTTTAGTTTTCTACGTGGTTGTTTAGTAACTGCAGCTACATACTATTAACATTCCTTTCCTTTGTTAATGCTACTCCCTGCACCCTCCCTTGGTGCTGTTGATCCTGCATAATGCATGGGCATAATATTAATTTGAAACCCCCCCGCCCACCCCCTACGCATTTCCCATGAATATGCTAAATTCCTCTTGATATGCACATTCTTTTTGTTAAGGCGCTCTTCTCCCACCTCCAACTCAGCTTATATATAAGCTCCTAGCTTGGCATTGTCTCATTCTTCACCTGAAGACGGCTGCTTGCGTTGTAGCCGAAACGTCGTGAGAATTAGTTTAATTTATTATGTTTTATTTTTATTATTTTATTACTTCCCTTCTACGTGACTTTACCGAAAGAACCAAGAAGAAGGAGCATCTGTTTGTTGTACACGACCCTTGCGTGCTCTGCATTTCTCCGGTCAGAGTTCTGTGACCTCGAGGATCTCCTGTCCGGCGGCGATGATGCTCTTGTTGATGGGGATGGTGCACGTGGTCGAGTTCTCCAAGCCGCTGACGCCCTTGGCCGTGTGCGCCCCCTTGGCCGTGTGCGCCCCCCGACCGTCGCACGGTCTGTAGCGGTGAGCGGGCGTCGACTTGGCCGACTCGCCGTAGCCCTCGTCGGTGCGCACCGTCTCGGAGCTGCGCGCCAGGCCGTCGGCGACCGCCCCGGCCAACCCGGGCCCCGACGCCGACCCCGACCGCGACCTGTCGTGCCCGGCCGCCCGCCCGGCGCCCGCTCGCCGCTCGTCCTCGTGGAGGCTGCCGGGGTCGGAGGTCAGCAGCGTGCCCGTGCTGCCCTGCAGGGCGCGCACCCCCTCCCCTCCGCCAGGAAGCTCCACGGGGGGGTGGTGGCGTAGGCGCAGTGAGGCCACCACCTGCTCGGGGTCCGCCAGCCCATCCCGCTGCTGGTCGCTGCTGCTCGCCGCCTCGTCCGCGTCATCGGATCCCGCTGGTATGAGCTGCGGGGGCGCGAGTGGGGGTGATGGTGTGTTACGGTGCGTCGCGGCGTGGCTCTCGTTTCACATCAAGTTCACGAGAGTGGCCGGGACGGTGCGTCAGCACGCCATGGTTGTCTGCGCCTATTGGGAGACGTGTGTTTTTTGGTTTGTTTTTAAACCCTATTGCCGTATTTTGGGTCATTTTTAAATCCTTTATATTAAGTTCACTTGCTTGCTTGCTTGCGTGCTTACGACCGTGCAAATCTTTCGGTCGTTTTTTAACCCACTTCCCGTGATCCAATCGAGCTGACATTTTGCACACAGACTCGTTGTGCGTGACAATTTATTTTCGTGAAATTTTTTTCTCCAAAATTTTACACTTTTTAGGAAAAAATAATAATATTTAATTACCAATTGCTTAATGGTGGCAGGCAATCATCTGACCCATAGGTGGCAGCCATCTCAAGCCAGAGGACGAGAGGACTCTAGCCGCCACGCATATAAAGGATTTATAGTGAAAAACTTTGTTTTTACGGGTTATACTTTTAAATGTTGCAATAAGTCTCCTGTGAATCTTTAGCATTTGCATTACAGCAGATTGGGCACTCTAATACATTAACCATGTAGAATTAACAGGCAGGAATGGTGTTGTTAGTGACTGTCTATTGAGGATGGCACCGCGCACGAGAGAGTGGTGTGACCAGCACCACACCCAGTGTTGATGTTTACACACCACAGCAGGAAATCGTTTATTCCGCTGTGGCTGGGAATTAAACTCGGGTTTCCGTGTTGGTTGCGCAGCACATGAAACACTGCGTCACCATGCCCCACAACACACGACACAAACACGCAATGATTTCGTCGTGTCGTCTTAACAGACGGTTGGGGAAAGTGCTGTTAGCGAGCCCCTATGAAGGCCAGCATGGCACATGGAGAGGGTGGGTTGCCGGCACCATGCCCGGCCGCTTTTGTCTCCCCAGTGCTAATGTTTGCATACTGCACCAGGTACTCATTTGAAGCTAATTTGACCCAAGTGAGGCCCAGGGATCGATTCCGACATTCGGCACTATTATTGGTCGCAAGCAGGAATTAAGAGAGGTTCGCCGGGTTCACTGTGTTAAGTGTTACTGAACAGCAGTGTTCTTCACTCGATTTCAGATACGGGCCACTTTCGCCGACGAGATATCGGTGGGAGTGATGCCACACCTTTGAAACCATTGGGGTTTGACAGCAGCACGGTGATGGGGGGTGTTTTCACATGCTGTGTATTGTCGGGAGCCACATACAGACACACACGCACGCAGTTCTGGGTAGAATCATGTGGCAGCACGAGGTACAAACGTCAGTCAAGCCCTAGTTGCGCTTCAGCCATGCTGAGTGCACACCGAGCTCACGCGCTGTGGCCATCACACAGGAATGGAGACCAGAACGTTTGGAAATGGGTGACGTGGAATGGGTGAGAGGGTTCGAGAGTCTGGGGGAGTGCGGGAGAGATGGGAGAGGGGGGGAATGCGGGAGACATGGGAGAGGGGGGGAGTGCGCGGGAGAGATGGGAGAGGGGGGGGGAGAGCAGGAGACATGGGAGAGGGGGGGAGTGCGGGAGAGATGGGGGAGAGGGGGAGTGCAGAAGAGGGGGTAGGAGAGGGGGGTGGGGGGGGGGAGTGCGGGGGTAGAGAGGTGGTGTGGGGGGAGGTGCTGGAGTTCGTGCGTTGAGGGTGGGATGGAACCTCGGTGGTGGATGAGCTCTCGGCGATGCTAAGCGACTTGTGCAGCACGCGCGCTGCAAACAACTTTTTGAGGCGCAGGTAGTCGTCCAGCACCACCTTGAGCAGCGAGCCCTTGCGAGGAGCGCAAACACAGATGTGGCAGCAGCAGCAGAAGCGAGTGCGATGGCAGTGGAGCGCAAGCGTGAAGAACAACGGCAATCACAACGGTCGTCATCAACCTCCTACCTCTGTCTCTCTCCTCTGGACGAGCGCCATTGGAAGTTTTTTTTGTAATGCCAAGAATGATATAATAGTTTACAGCCATTTGTTAATCCACTGTTGGATAAAGGCCTCCTTGTGCTGCATCCGCCATGGAAGTTGTTTGACCATACGTCGCTCTACTGGTCAGTACGTGTTGAATCGGGGACCCAGGCCTGGTTCAGATATGACTCAATAATCGTGTTAGCAGCGGCTCGAAATCTAATTCAAGTTAATCACTGCATCATGAGGCAGTGTTAATAACGTGTGATGAGAGTTTTGATTTTCCACACTTGAGTACGTGTGCAATACTGAAGAACATGGAATGGAGTTGGTCACAAAGCCACACATCAAGCAGTTTGTACCCAAAATGTAACAATCCCCTGCCCTCCCCTCATCGCCATCATCTTCCCCACCATTCACACTCACCTCCACCCATCATTCTAACCATAGGTCTCTCTTTAACAAATAATTCCGGTCTCAATGGGCTCTTGCCTGGCTATAACGGTCGTCCAGTCTAGTGGCTCAGCGGTTGAGTGATAGGTAGGTTGGGAGATAACTTGGCAAATGATCCCTCTGGGGTCAATAACATGAATGCCACTGTATGGGGAAGTCAGCGATGGTTGTTCTATTCAGAGACTCGCCCCTGCCATCGGCACGTGGATGTTCTTCCACTGCCTCAGGGCTATATGGTGAGGATCTGGTGAGAGGGAATCGATGTGGTGAGGCAGCTATTGGCGAGCGCACTCCTCTCTCCAAATGGGCAGAAACATGCCGTGGCTTGACTTGGCACGGCGTCGGAGCACATGGCGGCCGTACCTTGACGGGGCCGTCGCGCATGATTTGGCTGAGCCGTGCGATGTTGTCATACTCCTGGATGGCAGCGCGCAGGTAGCGGTCGTCCTCGGATTTGGTGCCTCCTGTCAGCGGATCTCGGCCAAATGTGCCCTGGTGGGGGGGGAAGGGGGTCAAGGGGACGGCTTAATGAACTGAGCAGCGTGGTTTATAATATATGTTTAAGTTAGGCCAAGTGATGATCTGAGCGAATTTGTGCCATAAAGGCCCTCCACCACCCGACGTGACGAAATAGAATGAGTTCCTTTGTTGCTTCCTCTTTTTCTTAATTTGCATGACTTTTGAAAAGCGACGGACGCATTCGTAACGGTGAGTTTATAAAAGTACCCACCTGCAAATCTTGACTTAAAGCTTTAGTGGCTGCAGGAATTCATATTCTTTGGGTCTTTCAGTAAAATCACGTAGATAGGTTCAAAGAAAATAACAAAAAACTACGACGTTTCGATTGCAACACAAGTGGTCGTCATCAGGAAAAGGGGGGTTATCTTCTAAAGACAACTGCTTATAAAGGTTTCACATGGGCGTCGCCCAAATTTCAGCAGCCAATGTTAATGTAAATGGTGGGCAGCGACCGTGGCGGTGATGGGTTTTCCACCAATCAAAGGGCTGCCAGGTAAATAATTAGCATATTAATGTAAGATCGATGAGCATCCTCCACTGCGAGCGCGCCAAGGTGGCTATGCGAATGCAAGAGATTAGCATGGTAATGTGAGAGATTAGCTTAGCATGATAATGGAAGATCGCCGAGCAGAGACCTCGAGGATGGCGCGCGAGGTGGCTGTGTTAGTGTGAGAAATTTAATCTGTTAATATAAAAATTCAGAGCCGAAAATAACTAATATCGGAAGGTGGTAGGATAGCAACATCACAGCCAGTTATGACTCAAACTGGTTAATAGCGTCCTTCCAATGATTGCTCAGTTTGTATCCATCTTCTCGGTTGATATTTTGTCTGTGTCTATATATATGGATGGCTTCGTGAACGAATCTTTGTTGATAGCCAGTGGGTTTGCAAAGTACCTTCGTCTTAGAGAAATCTGTCTGAGACCATACAACCATTCACTGGTAAGACCACCTCAGCTGTACTTAACTAAGCTCACTCGGTATCGTTAATTAAGGACATCTCACTATTTCCAGGTGATTTGCTCGTTCGTTTCGATGTGGTTTACCAAAGTTCCTGTGCCTGACACCATTGCAATCATCACAAGTGTGGCAATGGGCCAAGTGGTGATGAGAGTGGTGGATTGTACTTTACCGCCGTCGCACGTAGGCTCGCAGAGAGACCCACAGTCTTGCGTCGCAAAGCTTAGACTCACAGTAAAACTTGAGGCGTGATTCGGCTGTTATAAAGTTAATGCATTTCGGATGTGAAATGAAGCAAACAAAATAAAACAAGCCTCTTGCTAATATATCATGAACAACAACTTGTGCTCTTGGTAACATGAATACTCAAGGCAGGGAAACATAGGAGCTATGTAAAAATTTATGTATATGTACCAATTATAAATATTAGTTTGTGTTGATGGTTTATTATTTATTGATGCTTGTTTGCCCAGGAAGGCCTCACCGAGTCTCAAGAATTTGTCAGGAGGGTCCTGCCAAGTGTTTTTCAGGAGGGGCGGCGATGTTGCTGCATGTTTCAGCCAATTTATTAATTTGCAGGCAAATCCATAATAAATATTTTTTTGGGTTAAATATAAATGCTTCGTTAAATCCACCACCACGCAACACAGCCAATTAGTAAAGTTTGTGATGTAAACAAAACATGCTAATTAGTTACTAGTTCAGCACACTGGTGTGTTGGAGAGTAAATCCACAATATTTACAATTTGAGTACGATGGCGGGTTTAACGACACATTTATATTAACGAGATCTAACCCAAAAAAAACTCTATTATGGATAATATCGGTCGCGAAAACCTACATATTAAACTTGCAGGTAAATTTTCACCAGTGGGATGTTTTGGCCACCAGTTACATTGAATTATTTTTTGTTTGCCATGGGAGAAAACCGTAGAATCAAGAATAAACCAATGCAGAAGAACAGGGGAGAACTTACAAGCTCCGCCGTATGTATGTTGAACTTTTATTGCATCGTACGCAGCCAACTGCGCTAATTGGAGGTGCTCGCTCACATACGCATGTTGCAACATACAAACTCCACACGGAACAGCGTCCGAGTCGGGAATCGAACCGAGGCCCTCTATGAGGCACGATTGTTACCGCTGTGTCATCCGATAGATCATCAACATGGTGAAGGTCAGGGCTCGGTGGGAGGGAGGCAGGGAGGGTGGGAGGCAGGGAGCAGACACGTTACTGTGACGGCGCCAGCGCCTGCTGTAGCGAGGATGAGATGGGCGTTTTAACGGCATCGTTAATTCCTGCGCGATGTGCGTCAGTGTGGTGGCGGCATGGCGCAGTGGTAACGCTCGCGCCGCTTCACAGTAATAAGGGCATGGGTGACTCGGGCCCCTTTCTGCGTGCAGTTTGCATGTCCTCCCCCTGTTCTGTCATGGGTTTCCTTCGAGTTCTCCGATTTCCTTCCATCGCTGAAAAAAAGTATCCAATGTGACTGGTATTGGCCAAACATACCCATGCCGAAAAACAGCCTGGAAACTACTTAATTTCATACACAGTAGCAACAACTAGGCAGGAACCCTCTGAAAAATAATAATCTTGAGACTCTGTGAGGCTTCCCTGAGTAAACAATCACGATGGTAATAATAATCCACCACGAAAGTGCAACGTACATATTGTACCGAGTCACGACCACAAGACTCACGTGGGTCTTGGCGGGGCTGTTCCACAGCTCGGTGATGTCGCTGAGGTTGTCCGGAAGGCCATCGTCGTGCTCGGCCTGCGCCGCCAGCTCCATGTCGCGGTAGTACGGGTCGAGCCACACCGGGTTGGCCCTGCGCGCCCACACGGACACTTCACAGCCGCCGCTGCTCGGGCGACGGTGGACGACAGCGACCCGACCGCCCCAGCCCGTTGTTGTCGGTCCGTCATTGGGTGAGGGCCTCCCACACGCCAAAGCGGGCCATGGGGGCTATCCGATCACACTTCACCATCAGTGCGATCAGCTATCCGATCACACTTCACCATCAGTGCGATCAGCTATCCGATCACACATCACCGTCAGGAGAATCGGCTATCCGATCGCACTACACCCGTTCCTCCCATTAACATGGTCGGCTATGTACGGTGCGAAAGAAGTTCAGCATACAAAGATCCCCCCCATATAGCGTTAACAGACTGTTGGGGCAAGTGCTGTTTGCAAGTAGCGCCTATGAAGGCCGGTACGGCACACTAGGGGGTGGGTGGCCAGCACCACGCCCGGCTACTTTTGTCTCCCTAGTGGCGATGTTTACACGCCGCACCAGGCACTCATTTGAGGCTGAGTCGATTGGAAGAGGTCCAGGACCGGTTCAGATAATCGTCACTGGTGTTGATCGTGAGCGAGAATGGAAACCGGGTCGCTGTTTTCGCAGTGCAGCGCACTAATAGCTACACTACATATACAGTGTGGGTTGATGATACAAGAATGGATTCTTCCGTACTGCCCTCTGCTGTCTACAACACAGCCCCACTGCCCATGACTGTGTGCACAATGGACACCCAATCTGAGCACCACCCGGGCTCAACCCTGCTTAGCGTCTCAGATCTGACGGGATTGGGCGCATTGCATGTGATATTGGCCTGAGACGTCCCGACACGCTCGCTCGGAGCTTTAGTCTTGGAATAACGCTGATTGAATTACATCTCGTGCCTTTTAATGTCAATGCCGTGGGATCGCTACCAATGTCACTGCCTTTGAAGCCGAGATAACGACAGCAGAATCACGAGTCGAATTCGGCAGCCTGTGACGTAGACCAATATGGTGATTTATTTTGCGCATCTTCTTTCCAAAATTGTTTTGAGCAATCACTCCAGTCTTGGGCCTCGATTACTCACTATATTATTGTCTGCCTTTACAGTATCCTCCAAACACTTTCGTGTCGTCCCTTTACACGCTATGAGTAGAGCTACATCTGTAACTTGGTGATGCCATTGCATTATACGCCAGCCCGTTGATGGCGGCGCATGCTGTGTGCAACTCACAATCAGACGGTATGGAGCTCAAGACTCAGTCCGGAGTCAACTCACACCTTCATCCCTCTGAGTTCTATAAAACGTATACCACTTAATGGGAAGTATACATGGTTTCACTCAGTCCGAGCATAGGAATGTAGAATTTCCAGCTCTGACTCAGGGCTACAAACGGGAGATGCGACCCTGGCGCGCTCATCAAAGCAGGAAACCACTTTCACTTCGCATCGCGTTACGCGCTTGCCTGCAGGATAACGCTTCCGTTATCGCTTTCAGCTTGTAGACTGTGCGTTCAGACCACGGCGTCAGTGCGACTGACACTGCAACAGTGGCAATAAATGGCCTCAGTGGCTGCGAGAGAACTGGCATTGAGGAGAGAGACAGAAGGATCGTCCGACTTGCCCCTCCACGGCGAACTTGTTTGTGTTGGGCATGTTGTCCAGGATGTCCATGAAGCCCTGCTGGTTGCCTTGAGTGCACAGGGGTCATGGGGTCAAATGCACAGAGAATGGATTTATGAGACGGGGGCTTAAAGGGGCCTCGCTTGAATGAGCGACCCGAACGAAACGATGCGCAGGCGATGTTCGCTCACCGAGAGAGCCAGCAACGATGGCTCTTAGCTTCCGCTTGTGACTGAAAAAGACGAACACACACACGCACGCACGCAACCGCTAACGCTGTATGCTCTGCACTAACATGGTCACAAGTGGCAGTTCGGAAATGCCGTAATGCCATGTTTCATGCAACAGTTTGGTTTAGTCTTGTGGCATTGTAATGGTGAGCACGCTGGACTTGCCATCCAGAAGTTGCCAATTCGATTCAATCTCCCAACAGTTGAAACAACGTGCACACTTCCTAACTCCCCACGCGCCCACCTGTGTCCACCGGGCAGTACAAATGAGTTCGCCGCAGGTAGTAGATGACAAGTCACGTACGGAGAGGTCAAATGCAGGTACCCCTGCCTGTCTCAAATGCCTGGCCAGAGTGCAGTGTGTAAAGAGTGGCCACAACCCTCCGGATTTCCCTGCACATGATGTCATATTGGCTATTGGCTTATCCAGCAAGTGTGCTCAGCGCTAGAGGCCACGCACGGGTGTGGGCACTGCCAACGTGTTTGTGGTGCGGGCAGCAACACGAATCCGCGACGCGGGAAGTCGGACGACTCACGTGGTCCTGTAGTACCAGTTCATGACCACGAGGATAGCAATCACCAGGACGAGCAGAATGGCCAGGATGACGACGGCCATCTGACCCGAGGCAACACGCAGAGCACACGTCAGCCACGGGCAGCTCCGAGACAGCGGCGAGTGTGGGCAGGGTCGTGCGGGGTGAATCTCCTTGATTTATTGATTTGACAGTTTTTGTCTACGCGGGTAAGAAGCATTCTGCCTGAAGCTGTTGTTTTACGAGAATGACCCACGGAGGGACCCTTAGTGGAAAAACAGAAAGTTGCAGCAGCGAATAAATCACATTGCAGACACTGGTGAGGGGTCCCAGCTACCACGAGGTGTGCGTGTGGCTGAATCCGTGAGACACGAGTCCGTAGCTCACCCGGTGAGGGGTGTGAACTCACCTGTAGGGAGGTGAGGTCGTCGGACTTAGTGGCCACGACGGCCGGCTGAACGTCGAGCACGTTGTAATTCCGGAAGAGGTTCTTGAGCTGCTCCTTGTTGTCATCGATGAGAGCGATTACCCTGATGCGTCACAGCAAATGCTTACATTATCATCATCGTCGTCGTCAACATCGTCATCATCGCTACTGTCGCTGTTGTCTTAATCGTCATCACCGATGTCATGGATTACCATTGTTATCATTCGTCAATGACAATATATGTTATCATCTATCACGAGTAACATCCTTGCCATTGTCGGCATCATCAATGACTATAACCACACGGACAATTGTCACTGATGTCATTGACATGACAATCATCATCATCACCACTACCATCATCCATCATTCACTACCCATTTATAAAAAAAGATTAAGGCTCAGTGTGCAGTAATTCATAATAAACTGTAATTTCATGGGTAATTCCTCCCTCTCTGCTCGTGATCCTCACACGATGCTCACTCACTCACCTGCTAACATCCATGATTTGATTGGTGTATTTGTTGACGACGTGGATGAGAACGTCCGACTGGGCGAAGTTCACCCGCCCGTTACTGTCCACGTGGTACTGGGAAAGAGGCCGTGAAATTGTTAAGTTATAGTCAACATATGGACGTATTAGCGGTACACCGGTGCAGCATAACACACCGGTCCTCATAAAACAGTCTAAAAATCTAAATTTAATTCAGCAAATCTGTTTTATCAGTCTTTAATTGATGCTGTCACCAATTTTGACGCGATTTGAAGGTTTATTCAGTCTACTGACACTTGCTTAAAAAGGTCAATAATGACCGCTGATTTGGGTCCTTTGAATCGAGGAACCGTCCAACCAAATCTAGGGCACGAGAAGTCAAATCTGCCTTTGGAACACGGAGCAGCCAATCGTCATCAGGCTGGGTACTGCTAAACGGCAATAAAACTGTGAAGCACCATTGGAACCTCCTTTGCCAGTAGCAAAATATGATAATTGGCTTTTTATCCTTTTATCTGGCAACAAAACTGACACCTTTTTTACAAGGAGTCATGTTTGCATTGACCACAATACCTGCTGTCATCTGGTCCAACACCATGTTAGACTAGGCTCTAAGAAAAGCTGTCTCGGGTGTGGACCAATCAATTTCAAGGACAGTGCATACATTATCAGAGTTGTGTTTTTTTGTTTGCATTTCGACCGCAAGTATTGTGATCAATGCAACCATGACTCCTTGTAAAAAAGGTGTCAGTTTTGTTGCCAGATAAAAGGGTAAAAAAATAATTATCAAACTGTGAAGCTTCGTGTTCAGCCGCTCGTAATATTCGTCTTCGGACTGCTACGACATCACGAGAACTGAATTTTACGCACCACCACCCCGCAAGGCTTTATTACCAGAGTTGCAAATCACTGGAAAATAAATCATGATTACAAACGTTTTTTTTTATGCTGCTCACCACCGGTGTACCGCTGATAGATTCATATCACCATCGCTACGATGGAGCGTGAACCAGTGGAGATGTCTATCCGGCTGTCCAGGCATAGCGACCGAACGTGACGGATTCAAGGGTGTTTCTGGGCGGTGGCGAAACCGTGCGGTAGCGTGCTTTGCCGCTTGCTGCAGAGGTTCACGGTTTATCAACGATGAATTTCCGTGTTCACGTCTGCTTCACAGTGGATGTTAAAGTTTCGGTGGCACTATTCGAAAAGTACAGGCCACTGCGTGCTGGCATCATCATCCAACTTTGCCAAATGCTTTGTTTACCTGTAAATCACGCAACGGGATTAGGGCAACATCACCCCCTCCTGTGAAACTACTGCAGACTGTGTCTATCTAACTATAGTAATATCTTTGCACGATAAGAACGGGCCGAATATCACATGTACTAAATCAATATAATTTATATACCCTATATAACGCTCTTCTGGAAATGCCTGTGTAAATTATTTTATAAACTGATAACCATCTCTCCTGTACATTTTAAATCGCGCGACATCTTGCGCGGTGGATATGCGGTGACTTTCGGTTATGCAAGGGAAGTGAAAACAGAGCTCTGCGGTTTTCAGGCTCCAATAGGAACAACTGAGCGCATCGCAAGCGACTGCCCCATTCTCTCCACTCGCTGGGGGAGTCAGACCACTCCGCGGAACTGCGAGTAATGCCATCGATTGGATACTGAATATAGACCCGAAGCTACAGATGTCACAAGCTAGGGTAAGAATTGATCCTGTGAAGTGTATCCGTAGCTATTGTATGCATTGGCTCGAGAGAGCTTTTGCAAAATGGTTTTCAAATGCTCATAATTGATTCGCGAGTTAAAATTCTGGTCAGGGGTTGACTCAACCCATTATCCCCGCACGGTTGCAAGAATATTGCCACTCCGCTCCTGCTGACTCATGACCACCCGTGAAAATGAGCGCTGTTACGTGCGTGGTTTGCGCATTATAAAACCACGACCAACGACCTAGACAACTGCATTTGTGGGGTGGGTGAATTCATCATGTTTACTTCACGCTACAAATAGTTTAATGGGTGACAAGAATGAACATTGTCTGAGATTTCAATAAAAGTGCAATCATTTTCAGTTTGCGGGGGCAAGCATCATGGGTCAAATTGTCGGGGTGGCCTTGACCTAACTGGGCCCACATATACGTTGTGTCGCAGTGGCAGTGTGGCTGGTGTGGGCACTGGCGCAACAAATGAAATGGGATCCGCCACCCCACCCCGTTCTTTTTCCCCGTTTTGTTATGGCCTGGCACTGGGGTCCTCTGGCCCTGTGCAGCCTGCACACTCGGCATCTACAGCCAGCGGCGGCAGCAGAGGCACCTGCACATCGTCGGTGTTGACGATGGCACCCGTGATGTTGGACAGCAGTTTGACGAACTGCTCCTGGAATGCGCGCACGCGCTCCGGAGTCTCGTTGATGACGATCTTGACGCGCTGGTCGTCGCGCAGGATGTACACGCCCACGGTCGCCGTGTCGTTGTGGCCAGCCATGTCGGCCACCACAACCTCGAGCATGAAGTAGCCCGGGCCGTACGCCGTGAAGAGGTCGTACGTGCGCAGGATGCCGTCGCGCCCGCCTGCGCGTGTGCACCGGGAGCGGTAGTGCAGTGGTTAGTGTGCTGCCTTACGAACCGAGCGATCAGAGTTCGATTCCCGCTCACTACCAATAACAGTGGTGGCAGTCCTGGGGATCCCCTGGGTCGACGAATAACTGAGATTAGTACTTTTTGCAGTGTGTAAGCATCAGCACTGTGGAGACAAAGGCGGCCGGGCGTGGTGCTGTTCACCCAAACCCTTGTCCGCCGTGCCGACCTTCATACAGTGAGGGAAAAAAGTATTTGATCCCCTGCTGATTTTGTACGTTTGCTCACTGACAAAGAAATGATCAGTCTATAATTTTAATGGTAGGTTTATTTGAACAATGAGAGACAGAATAACAACAAAAATCCAGAAAAACGCATGTCAAAAATGTTATACATTTATTTGAATTTTAATGAGGGAAATAAGTATTTGACCCCTCTGCAAAACATGACTTAGTACTTGGTGGCAAAACCCTTGTTGGCAATCACAGAGGTCAGACGTTTCTTGTAGTTGGCCACCAGGTTTGCACACATCTCAGGAGGGATTTTGTCCCACTCCTCTTTGCAGATCTTCTCCAAGTCATTAAGGTTTCGAGGCTGACGTTTGGCAACTTGGACCTTCAGCTCCCTCCACAGATTTTCTATGGGATTAAGGTCTGGAGACTGGCTAGGCCAATCCAGGACCTTAATGTGCTTCTTCTTGAGCCACTCCTTTGTTGTCTTGGCCGTGTGTTTTGGGTCATTGTCATGCTGGAATACCCATCCACGACCCATTTCAATGCCCTGGCTGAGGGAAGGAGGTTCTCACCCAAAATTTGACGGTACATGGCCCCGTCCATCGTCCCTTTGATGCGGTGAAGTTGTCCTGTCCCCTTAGCAGAAAAACAACCCCAAAGCATAAAGTTTCCATCTCCATGTTTGACGGTGGGGATGGTGTTCTTGGGGTCATAGGCAGATTCAAGAGCCGAATGGCTCACAGGGCTATACCTAATAAATTAACTTGAACTTGAGCATTCCTCCTCCTCCAAACACGGCGAGTTGAGTTGATGCCAAAGAGCTCCATTTTGGTCTCATCTGACCACAACACTTTCACCCAGTTGTCCTCTGAATCATTCAGATGTTCATTGGCAAACTTCAGACGTGCTTTCTTGAGCAGGGGGACCTTGCGGGCGCTGCAGGATTTCAGTCCTTCACGGCGTAGTGTGTTACCAACTGTTTTCTTGGTGACTACGGTCCCAGCTGCCTTGAGATCATTGACAAGATCCTCCTGTGTAGTTCTGGGCTGATTCCTCACCGTTCTCATGATCATTGCAACTCCACGAGGTGAGATCTTGCATGGAGCCCCAGGCCGAGGGAGATTGACAGTTCTTTTGTGTTTCTCCCATTTGCGAATAATCGCACCAACTGTTGTCACCTTCTCACCAAGCTGCTTGGCAATGGTCTTGTTGCCCATTCCAGCCTTGTGTAGGTCTACAATCTTGTCCCTGACGTCCTTGGAGAGCTCTTTGGTCTTGGCCATGGTGGAGAGTTTGGAATCTGATTGATTTATTGCTTCGGTGAACAGGTGTCTTTTATACAGGTAACAAGCTGAGATTAGGAGCACTCCCTTTAAGAGTGTGCTCCTAATCTCAGTTCGTTACCTGTATAAAAGACACCTGGGAGCCAGAAATCTTTCTGATTGAGAGGGAGTCAAATACTTATTTCCCTCATTAAAATGCAAATCAATTTATAACATTTTTGACATGCGTTTTTCTGGATTTTTTTGTTCTTATTCTGTCTTTCACCGTTCAAATAAACCTACCATTAAAATTATAGACTGATCATTTCTTTGTCAGTGGGCAAACGTACAAAATCAGCAGGGGATCAAATACTTTTTTCCCTCACTGTAGGTGCTGCTCACTAACAGCACTTGCCCCAGCAGTCTGCTAGAGGCTACACAGGGATCCTTGTGCTGCGTGTGGCCATACCCAGGGTGAAGATGTTGTACATGCGTGTGGAGCTGTTGCTGCTGTGCTTAATGTAGAGTATGCTGAGGATGCGGTACAGCACGATGCTGTTGTTCCCCACGTCCCGGTCCACCGCCTCCAGCTGCAGCAGCTCCGAGCCCACCTTGGCGTCCACCGCCACGCCTGCGGAAGCCTCTCGTTACCACCCGACCCGCGCACATTCACCCCTTAATCCTTTCCAAAATGTATTCAGTATCCGGACAGGTGGCTTAGCAGTAGAGCAGGTGGGTGGCAATCCGAAGGTTGAGAGTTCAATTGTTGGTTTTCAGTTGACACATCCCTCTGAAGTCGATAAAATGAGTACCACCTTCTGGGTATCTATACTAGTTGTCCTCTGATAGACTTAGCCCTGTCATAGGAATGTGGAATTTTCACCACTGGCTCAAGGTTATAATCAGGCGATGATTACCACCTCACATGCTTATTTGAGTAAACTTGTAAATGCAATAGTGTAGTTCATCTTCCGGGATGACCCATATGGATCCAATTAAGGAATTACCACTTGCTGGGCTGCACCGAGTTAGGGAGGCTTTGTTTTAAGACCCAAAACATAGGTGTCTGGGTAGCTCTGAGGTCAGAGCACTTTCCCACAAGCCCTGCTACTTAGAAATATTTGTCACATGGCATCCAAGCCAACATTTAACATGCTCAGATCTGGAAATTTGCCAAGTTAATAAAAAAAAACTATATATTTTAAGTCCAGTCAATAGTGACTCGGGAGTAAAAATTATGGTCAGGGGTTGACTCTCAATCCATTATCCCCACATGGTTGACAAGAATAGTACCAATTTGTGGTGAGTCAGCAGGTGTCACCCTTGGACAGAGAACCACGTCTCTACAGACATTGATTTCCTCCACTCGCTGCTGACTCACGACCGCACGTGAAGATGAGCGCCGTTACTGACTACACCTGACAGCCATGTTTGATCACAGGTGGCTCCCCGCATTCTAGCCCAGGATCTTGGTGATGCTGGCTCATTGCCTCTTAAAGCCACCCAGCCACATTTACAGTCTCGTTTTGACACAGTATTTGTTTGCATTGTCACGTCGGTCCTTGCCTGCTGTGTACTCGTGGTTGGTGAAGACCGGCCACTGGTCGTTGATGTCCTCCAGATAAACCCTGACCTCGCGGAGCGTGCGGTCCTTCGAGGGGTCGAACTCAGGGCCCGTCGTCACGGCCTGGGCCGCCTGGGCCTGGAAGGGCGAGGCCAGGGCCTGACGGGCCCTCGTGGCCACGGCAGAGTTCCAGTTGGGGTTGCTGGAGGCCTTGACGATGACGGCGTAGTAGGGGCTCACCTCGCGGTCCAGGTCACTCAGCACCACCAGGAGGCCCCAGCGACTCAAGTTGAACTTGCTCCCCTCGTTCCCGGCTGTGCACAGCGGGCCAGGAGGAATCCGGTTTGGAGGAGGATAGGGAATGGCCACGGCACACGAGGGTGGGATTGGAGCTGCAATGGTTGGTTTCTCATTGCTCCCAATTACATTCTAACTGCAGGGAGTCCTGCAGTAAGCAGTAACCCACCTTGTGTTAGCAATCTCGTGGTACAACTTTTAAAAGCCCTGAAAAGAGTGTTCATTTGAATTAAAGAGACGTTTGAAATTCTCAGTTTTAAAAATTTAATTAATTGAAAAAAATAAATGACTTATACATTACATACGTTGAACTTCGTTTGCACCATATGTGGTCAACCGTAGTTTGATAACGTTCAGGCTAAGGATATTAATTCGCTGCAGTTGAGGACCAAACTATACCACGGGAGGCTGAAACCCGAATTTGAATCCAAGAACTCATCGGTGCTGGCTTATAAGTGCTTTGACACAAACCTCCTCGGCAATCCAGCCACCTCTACTCCGGCATGCTGATGAATCCAGAAGCATACGTAGTAGAGGAATTGACTCAATACATTTATTATCAGGGCTCCTGGGTCCTCCTGAAAGAGACCACTGACACTCAGTGATACTTCCCTTGGTGAGTAAAGAAGAGTTTGTATCATTTAATTACTGTATTAAGCATAGCTGGACTTTTAACAAAGCAAATACGTTTTTGGTCTTCAAATACAGGTCTACACAGAGAATACCAGAAATATTATCAAAGTAACTTGGAAGTTCTTCATGGAATGTCTTGAGAAAGCATTGCAGATGTAATCGGTAAATACGAGGTTGTGATGGGTGGGACACGTGGTGTGCAGCGTGGCAGAGGTCAGGTTACTAACACAGACATTTGGAGTGGCACCCAGAGGTCAGTGGTGGTGGAGATGACACCGTAAGAGTTGTCTAAAATCTAGCTCGGGCTTAATTTCCGACAATTTTTCAGGTCGCAGGTAAACGACAGCAGCCTAGAGACTGGACCATAGCCAAAACCATAGCAAGGTGTATACTGGATGTGGTGTACCAGCTTTGGAAATATCTTTTGGGTGAGCAATCCAGACAGACCTAACCGAAATTAATCCCTGCATCTAGCAGAATAAAGCACATGGCGAGGTGCAGTGGCATCAACAACATTGGCTGTGATGTCCGCTCAATCTTGACCTTGACTGCTAAGGTCAAGGGAAGTAACACACCACCGTCGGTACGGCGCCGCTACTCGTGTGCGCTGGGCGTGTGACGAGACGGCCGCGGTTACCTGCGATGAAGTAGTAGACAACGGCGTTGGCGCCAACGTCCGCGTCGACGGCGCCGCTCACGTTCCCGACCGCCGTGCCCGGGGGGGAGTGCTCGGGGATGGAGAACGACTGGTACGGAGCTCCGCCGTCCTGCCACGCATGAAGAGCGAGAGGGAGGAAATGACGTTTGCGCTCGGACGAAATCGAAGCGACGCTCAGTGGATATCACGAGCTGCCTTTGAAGGGGTGTGTCCATTCTCCCTCGTGAGTCTCAGCCAGCGGACGTCGTCCGACCCAGCGACGTGTCCTGCTCAAGCCCACCCACATCACTTAGCAGCCAACGTGCGTGTCAGTTTAACACGTAGTAGACTTTCGCGACCAATATTATCCATAAAGAGGTTTTTGGGTCAGATCGCGTAAATATAAATCTATCCTTAAAACAGCCACCACCCGACACAGCCAATTAGTAAGGTTTTTCACGTAAATAAAGCATGCCAATTAGTTACGAGTTCAGCACAACCGGTGTGTTGGAGAGTAAACCCACAACATGTGTGTTCCCCGATGCAAGCGTTCCTCTTCCTGCCTCTCAGTGCAATTACAATCATGTACCTCTCCATGCATCTTTGTCCACCTTTCAACTTTTGTTTGTGTCGAGGTTCATGTTTCTAACCCACGTGTCATAGCAGGTGATATATATTGATTACTATACACACGTGTGGAAGTGCGTGTGTGTGTACATGTGGGTGGGGGGCAGTAGTGCAAAGGTTAGCGCGCTGCACTACGAACCCAGCAACCCAAATTAGATTCCCGCTCACGGCCAACACCAATGATAATTATCTGAATTGGTCGTGGACCTCCCCTAGGTAGACTCAGCCTAAAATTAGTACCTGGTGCAGTGTGGAAACATCGCCACTGGGGAGACAGAGAGGTAGGTACTCACTATCAGCTGGTACATGCGGGTACGTACGTGCGGATACATGTGGGTCCATGCGGGTACAGGTGGGTACGTGCATGTGGGTACATGCGAGTACGTGCGGGTACATGTGGGTGGATACGTGTTGGTATGTGCGGATACATGCGGGTACGTGTTCTGTAGTTACGTGTGGGTACGTGCGTACAGGCGGCACGATGAACACGGGCTCGTTATCGTCGATGTCGTCCAGCACGACCTGCAGCGGCTGCGTGGACTCGTAGGACACGGGCTGGCCCTGATCCGAGGCCAGCAGGATCAGCTGGTGGGTGGGCACATGGACACGCAGCAATGCCACCGATTCCTTTTGATGAGCAGCATGGGCGAGGCCTGAGCCAGCGATGCCGAGATCAGCGGTTGGAATCTGGATCTCATCCACACTCCTCAACAATAGTAAGTTGACTAATGACTGCACAACTAACCCTCAAATTAAATAAACCCAAAACTTTCGTCAATACCACGTGGCCTTAAAATGAAAATATATAGAGGACGTTTCGGGCAACGGCCCTTTTTCAACGTGTTGGGTGTTTTGGTTATTTGTGCTTGTGCACTGCTGTCAATGCAGAATACAATACGTACAATTATTGTTTTAATTAAGTCGTAAAAATCATGATAATTGGACTGCAATGCACAAACAATTCTATAAAAGCTACCCAGGCTAAATACCTGCTCATGTTCCAAATTGCAATGAGACCGGGCGTATTCAGCATCATTTCTACCAAGTGGCTCAAGTGCCCAATGCGTTTGGAACATTCGCCCCAAGCTCTCCGCGTCGAGCATTGAGCCTCGCAAAGTATTCGGGTTGAGCATGTGGAGAGCGTTCAGAGGGTTGGGGCTTGGGCCGCCGAGTTGGATGCGCCGGCGGAGCCTCACGCTGTAGACGGCCTGGCTCTCGCGGTCGAGGGCGCGCGCCGTGCTGATGATTCCGCTCGTGGCGTTGATGCGGAAGCTCTCCCAATCGCGGCTGCCTACGCCGCCGGCATGCAGGAAGCTGTAGCGCACAGCGCCGTTCTGGCCCTCGTCCCCGTCCACCGCGAGGACCTCGTACACGAAGAAGCCGGCCTCACGCTCCTGCGGGTGGGGGGGTGGGGGGAACCAATGGTGCGGGATCGAGTCAATGGTGGAGTGGTGAGGGTGACGGACGTCACAATCGTGATCCGAAAAGTAACCCCTGACTAGTAACCAATGTGGTATTTTTTTAAATAAATAAAAAATAATATTAATAATCGCCCCCAGAGCCTTATTTTCATTACACCTCTAGGCTGTCACGTGGCACTGCGGCTACATGGGCTGACGTCAGTCCAACTGCGTAACAGTCACCGTGTAATGCATTCGCTAAATAAATTACGGTTCTGTGTAAGGTGTGGCGGAAAATGCGTTGTCTTTGTTAGACATGTAAAAGTAATAACAATACGAATAACAATGGGCATGACCTCGGTGATGTTGACAACGGTGCCGTTGGGCGGCAGCACGAACACGGGCCGGTGGTCATTGACGTCGAGCACCTCGACGTAGAGGCCCGCCTGGCCCCATAGCGGGGGCCGCCCGTGGTCGGTGGCCACAGCCGTCAGGTTGAAGCGCTCGTACGACTTGAGCAGCCGCGTCGACGTCACCAGGCCCGAGGTCGCATGCACCGTGAACGCGTCTGTGGACAACGGGGCCGAGACGATGGGGGCTCTCGTTGTTATTATTGTTGTTCACCCAGGAAAGCCTCCACTAAAAGTCCTAAGACACTTTTTTCAGGAGGGTCCTGCCAAGCGTTCACAGCAGAAAGAGATGTTGTTGGGTGTGTGTGATGCCAATTGAGTTATATTTCAGCGCAGGGATTTTTTCCCAATGCCGGTTACACTGGTTTTTTTTAGCTATGGGAGGAAAGTGGAGAATCCAGAGGAAAGCTGCAGAACAGGGGGAGAACGTAAAAATTCCAATGAGAAAGGTGCCCTAGCCGGGAATTGAACCCAGGGCATTCTTGCTGTGAGGGACGAGGTGTTTCCACTGCTCCAACCTGCCACCCTAAGAGTCAGGGTTGGTAGATCATGAGTGATCTCTGAAACTTCCGGTATCCTAGGTTTAGCACAGTTGGCTACGTACGGCGCAAAATCATTTCAATATACATACACAGGGCTGCGATATGGCCAGGTGTTGGCAGGACCGCTCATGGGTTCAAGACCCTCTGAGTGTTATCCCATGGGATGGCTTTTAAGTTGTCTCTGGGTACCGTGATGCGCTCTTACATGTAAAACACTCCTTATAAAACAATACTCAAACATCTCAATGCAGCACCTATGTATGAAGGCTTTCCTGGATAATGCAGTTCATTATTAAGGACAGCTCAGCTAGTCTAAGGGTCTCGCCGATGTTCGGTAGACTAATTATGAAGAGACGTGGACAAACATTTGAAGCACAAAATATAATCACAACAATGAACATCCATGCTCAAGCGTTCATCAATACCTATTGTTGATACTTAGCCAGTGGTGTAAATGACACATTCAGTTGACGGGGACCAGTCTTGCCGCAGGAAAACCACACATATATATGTGTGTGTGTACACATATGCATGTGTGTGTAGACATATAACAAACAAAAAACCCACTTCAAAATGAAATCCACATTGTGTAAGCTCAAGCACCTCAGTGTCGTGGCAGTCAATTTCTCCGCGTGTGCAAACATTGACCTCATAAATCATTGCCAAGGTGTGAAATTGACGCACGGCACAGCCATGTCGGACACAAGCACATGTAGGAAGCCAGTGCTCCTCGTGCCTCTGTGCGGCACATTACACTGGAAATACTATTTGCTTGTTTTTTCAAATGGGTGTGGTGGTGATGATGACCCGGGTGGCCTGCTGGCTCTCACCTCAATGAATCTGCTGGCTGGGAGTCTACGACCCCGAAATCTAAATTCGTCTCAAATCATCGCTGAGCCGTGTGAGAGTTATGAAATGGTCTCTGCTCGGGTGAGCACGCGACTCATGGTGCCGCACGTGGCCGTGCCCGAGGCAGGTTTCCTTGATGCAGAGGGGGAGCTGCGCAAAACCGAACTATCGACGGTTTGAATTGAACGCGCGACCAGCAGCGGGCGCTGTTGGCCTGCCCATGTGGAGTCTGCACAAGCTGCTCAATGAAGTTGATTCCAAATGAGTGACAATGTATAACATTACCGGATGCATATACAGTAATGCATAATACCATCTAAACTATTTTGTACGTATATTTCATGAAAGCAAAAAAAAAGTAAATTTGTATCGGCCAAAAACAACCTCATGCTGAAAATTTCCTGAAAATTACTGAATTGGGATTACGCAAAGCAATACCGCCCCTTACGGCAACAAACCTGGCAGGACCCTCCTCAAAAAGAGTCTTGAGACTCAGCGAAGTTTATCTGGATAAACAAGTGCTAAAATGAAAGAACACCATATTTCGCTGTGTTAAAACTGTGGAGGAAATTACACTTTGCTATGACACGGACTGGTCTCTACAAAGGACGAACACTATTCTTGTCTTCCTGTAGAAGTGGTACTTATTTATTTCAACAATCAATGGATGATTGGCAATGTCAGCCCCTGACGTGACAATGACCCGGCCTGTGGATCTCTATCCTCAGAGGACACAAAGTAGCGTTCATTTGTTTGTTGGTTGTGCAATATTCCGTTGGATCCGAGACTCATTCTCGGCAATAGTAATGTTTTTGTCTATTCTTGTTGTTGCTGTGCTGACGCAGCACGGATCTCCATTTGAAAATATCTGAGCATCGGCTAAACGGGATCATCATCCGTGTAACAATACAAATCAATTCAAACTCATTCAATACACCCTGAAAGCAAAGCCAGTTGAGTTGACCCCCATGATGCCCGAGAGGAGGGTGGGTTTGCTGAGGAGTCAGAACTGTACAACTGAGATGCAGGGTTCGAATCTGGCTCTACATAACCATCACACTTAATTTGTTAACTTAATTTGGCTCATTTGGAGCACTGAGTATAAAAAAGATCAATCTGATGAATAATTCTATCTGGATGAGGATATGTGAGAATGTGCAACCACCAGCGTATAGTCATTTGAAAGAATTCAACATCATTGGAAGGGATGTCAGAGGTAGTTGTGCTTGTGGGCCATTCCCTATCATAGGCCATCCCACTGCGATGCGAGAGTTCCGAACGGACGTTGATTAATCTCGACACACAAACCCGACAGAGGAAGCTGAATAACATTTTGAAGAAAGATGAATCACAAGGCCCGCCTGAGGCTCTTGTTTCGACTGAGGAGCTGCATTGCCAGGGGTTACCAGATCCAGGGCCCTGCAGGGAGTAGTCCACCCGCCCATTGTCCCCTTCATCCAGGTCGGTGGCGGTCAGTGTGAGCACGGAGGTGCCTGCCGGCTCGTTCTCGTACACGGCCGTCTGGTATCCGGGCAGCGAGAACACGGGCCTCACGTCGTTCACGTCGATCACCGTCACGTACGCCTGCCGGGAGAAGACAAGCGGAGCGAGGCATCGGTGTGTGACATGCACCACGTGTGCTCACTCACTCGTGGCACACGCGTGTGTTCATATCGGATCATTTATATGAGAGTTTACAGACGGACGGAGATAAAGCATTGAGCGCCATCGACCTGCATTGAAAAGCGCTAGGAACTTGATAGCCGACATTGTGCCGTGGACGTTGCCACGCCGGCACTACCTGTGCCGAGTTCTCTCTCTGGTTGGATCTCAGGTCCCCAGGGTTGTCTCGGGCCGTCACCGTCAGCGTGTACTGGTCCTTCTTCTCGCGGTCGAGCGGAGACAGCACGTACAGCTCGCCCTGCAGGCCGCACGCCAGGGGAGACACGGATGCGGTGATGTCTCATGCTGGCAGGCGAGCGAAGGAAGCACCAGTGCACTGATTTAAACTCCACGGCCTCTCGTGTGCAGCTTAATTTTGATCCGTTTCAAAAAATGAATGCAACAGAAACACCTGATCTGTTCTCAAAACTCCGCTCGGCTAACTTGGCTATAAAACAAGGGTTGGGTGGCTCAGGGATCGGAGCACTGAGCCGGAACTTCTGAGACCTGAGTTGGAATCCAGGCACTAGCCCATGATGAGTCTGGGCTCTTGAGTGAAGTGAATGACTGGTTTAGCTCAGTTACCAATGGCTGAACAATATATTTGGCACGAGATGAAATCCAGTAAACACTCGGGGTTGCAATTGGATTGTGTGATTATCGGTAATTGTACAATCCCAACCCATTCAATTTGTCAGTTCAGGTCGGTTAAACATTGCTGCAATTATATATATTCGAATTAAAATGTTATTGTAATAGAATATTTACATTAGATTGTCTGATATATATTAAAAAAACTTGGATTGATTGTTTTCACGTGCAAAAATGTAAAAACCTTGATGATGATGATTCCAAAGATGGATGATTAAAGATGACGATGATGATGATGCTTGAAGTTGAGGAGTAAGCATGTGACTGCTGCACTGAAGATATGGTCAGCATTGGCGTAGCTATCGAGTGTGCAGGTGGTGCAACTGCATAAGTGCCGGGGGGAAGTAACTTGGGCAGGGGGCCCCAGTTCATTCCTGGCACCGGGGCCCATGCCTAGCAGGCCGTGCCACCGGCAGCCGGTAATGGAGAGCGGCGGTGAGGGTGGTGTGCCGGGCCGCTGACCGTGGATGGTGTGATGCCAAACTTCCCCTCTCCGTCCACGAGGGAGTAAACGACCACCGCGAAGTTTCCCGAGTCGGCGTCGGTGGCAGTGATCCGCATCAGCACCGTGCCGGGCGCCACGTCCTCAAACACCGATTTCTGTGGACGGGCAACGCGGGCATCATCACTATCAGCATCATCACCAGCATCATCAGCATCATCAGCATCATCACCATCAGCATCATCCTTTCGCAGTGGCTATTGGCTCGCCATCGAACAAAGAGGGTCACTGCATCGCGCGCTTTCAGATACGCTTCTGTGGCCGTCTGGACTCCTCTTCCTTCCGATATGAGGAAGTCACTGGAGCTGTGCACTTTTGAATCTATATTGAAAACTCATTGCTTTAGAACTGCTTTTGATGTTTAGTTTGTTGTCCTTCCCCCACACCTCCGATTAGCCCGTTTGGCTATGTAAGGTGCGAAAGAAGTTCAACATACATACTTACATGCATCCTTGGCCATGATCTATTCAAGTCGTCACCATCCCTCATAGTCCCACGATGCAACAATCTATCGAGCACCTGCACACGAGCTGATTTCGTCGCTCCTTCTCCACGGGGGATGTCCTCTCTAGTGTTGCCCCCTCCTTCGTCTGCCATTCAAGTGAATCCGGTTTAATCTGGTTTACCAGGTTTCAAGTTAATCTGGTTTACCAGGTGAGAACTCAAGTAATCAGGATGAGTCTAATTTGTAAGAGTGACGTGGGTCACCAAAATGACAAAAGCAAACAAAATAACGATGCAGCATTGAAGCAAATAAATATGACAACAAAAACAACTGAGTCACGTTGAGACCTGTCGTCTTGACCATCGGCGATCATCCCTTCTTGTACCGTGTGCTCTCAAATATGCTGCACTGTGAGGTGGCCATGAGATAGCAGTGATAAGTGAGCCTGTGAACTCATTTGTGTGTGGACCCTTGAGTGTTGACCCATGTGGGGTTTCCTCAGGCGATTCTGTGGTTTCTTCGCATGCCAAGTGATCGTTTTTAGAAAAGGCCAAATATTTAAATGGGAAAAGTCTTGAGGCTCGGTGAGACTTTCCTGGATAAACAAATGACATTAATCAGACTATAACCCACGAAGAGCCAATGGCTCTTTTTGATAAAGTGAAGGTGGAAGTCCTTGCTGTGGCTCCACATATAAATAACTACGTTTTAAGTCCATATTCTTTGGCTCTTTGGGTAAAGTCACATAGATATAAAAATAATAAAAAGAAAGTGAATACAAATAAAAAAACACGATGTTTCCTGATGACGACCGCTTGTGTTGCGATCAAAACGTCATGGTTTTTATTTTTATTCACTTTATTTTAATTTTTCTATCTATGTGACTTTACCTGAAATAACCAAATAATATGAATCCCTGCAGTCACGAAAGTTTTAAGTCAACATTTATGTTTTAATCTTAATTTGAAGTTTTCGTGGCTGCAGGGATCCATACTCTTTTTAAATCCTTTATATTAAGTTCACTTGCTTGCTTGCTTGCGTGCTTGCTTGCTTGCTTACGACCGTGCAAATCTTTCGGTCGTTTTATAACCCACTTCCCCTGATCCAATCGAGCTGACATTTTGCACACAGACTCGTTGTGCGTGACAATTAATTTTCGTGAAAATTTTTTTCCAAAATTTTACACTGTTTAGGGAAATTGTTTAAAATATTTAATTACCAATTGCTTAATGGTGCCAGACAATCATCTGACCCATAGGTGGCAGCCATCTCAAGCCAGAGGATGAGAGGACTCTAGCTGCCCGTTTCATGATGACGCAAATGTTGACTAACCACATGGCATGAAATCCCTGCCCCCACGCTGTACAATGGAGACTATTTATAGAGCAGTTAAATTGAAGCCGCCAGGTTCTTGAAAGCGGTAAAACGGGTCAAAACCGATGCCACGCATATAAAGGATTTATAGTGAAAAACTTTGTTTTTACGGGTTAATTTTTTATACCTAATTGGCATGCTTTGTTTACGTTGAGTCTACAACACACATTTACAATTGTAGATGTTGTGGGTTTATTCTCCAACACACGGGTGTGCTGAACTAGTAACTAATTGGCATGTTTGTTGACGCGACAAACCTTGCTAATTCACTGTGTCGGGTGGTGGCAGGTTTAACGACACATTTATATTTATGCAATCTAACCCGAACAATCTCTATTATGGATGAAATTGGTTACGAAAGCCTACGCGTTAAACAGTGTAGGGGCGTATGCTCTGGTGGTGAATGCTCTACCACCTGCACGTTGTCTCTGCACCATTGGGAGACTGAACGTGGCTGCATCCTGTGGCCTAAGAGGCCAACTATAGAACGTGATGAGGTCAACAGTTTCTTTAGGTACGAGCGACGACGCTCATGTGGAGAGGATTCGCTCTGTGGAAGGCAGGGGGAGCAGACGCACGCTGTAGGAGGCGGGGTTGAAGATGGGGTTGTTGTCGTTGATGTCGATGATGCGGATGGAGACGGGTGCGTCCGTGTTGCGGGGTGGCGTCCCGCGGTCCTGCGCTCGCACCGTGAAGTTGAGCCACTTGACCTGCTCGTAGTCGATCGTGCGGTTGATGGTGATCTTGCCTGCGCATCAAAGAAAGACGACATGCTGATGAAAAACAATGAAAAGCCCTTTGTCCATTCTCTGCTGGGTGAAGGCCTCCCCACACCGTGCTGCTCGTAGGGCGTGGGTTTGACCATACTTCACCATTCTGGACAGCGCGGCTTGGTGAATGGGGGTGGATGGCGTGGCCAGGACCAGTTTGGATATCATACGCCGCTGATGTCATAAAATAAATTCAGGTCACTGGGTTCGTAATACAGCGTGCTAACCGCTCCACTCGCAAGATAACCCGGGCGTAATTCTGTCATGGCTTAAAATTGATATATTTAGTTGGTGTGTTTGAAAAAAAAATAGTCGCTTCTCTCTATATTTATGTGAGAGCCTCTTGAGATTCATTATCTCTTAAAGAAAGGGATGCTAGAGATGTTCTTACTATTTAGGGACAGGTATGAATCATTGCAACCACAATATACATTGAGGGTGTTGTACTCTGAACCAAAGCACACACTGACCTCCCAGCATGAATTTGTTTAATGTCGCAAATAAACTGATGGACAAAAGTGAAAACTAAATGATTGAATGTCACTCAATAGGCTCATTGGCAAGTTCACTGGCCCCCAGATGAACCCATTCTCAGGAGGTGCAGCCGCGGTGGCAATATGTTAACGACCTTGCCTGGTATACAGGAGGTTGTGGGTGCAATCCCGACCCTGACGCCTGTATATTTTTAGTTTGAGTGTTCTCCCTCCACATTTAGAAACATGCGTTTAGAGTATTTGGCTGCTATAAATTTCCACATGATAAGCCCCTTCGTTGAGCTATCATTTGTGGCCAGGTTGCTTCTGGAAAAGAGCCCTATAGGTCAGTGGGCCTTACCTGGAGAAAACAAAAATAGTTTTGTTTTTATCATTTAGTTTAATATCCCTCTAGATTCTGAGTAGGCATACAACAATACACTGCTGCCCTCTCTCATTGGGTTGTCATGACTCAGGACCACAAACAATTCAAGAATAAATAACTTTTGTTAAGTTTGTATTGTTTAATTGAAATTAATTAATGTATTCTCATTTGTTGTTCATCAATTTTAAGGCCTGTTCACTTTTCATTATCATTCTCACCATTTACACGATCCGATAATACGTCTAGTGTGCACTGTCATGTGGTCTTCCACATTCATTTCCACCATTAACCCTACAAACAATATTCGCGTGACACTTGCAAGAGTTGAGAAAACCGTAATTACCCTTTGCACAAAACAAAGACAACTATCCCCCGCATAGCCTTAACAAACTGTTGGAGCAAGTGCTGTTAGCGAGCACCTATGCAGGTCGGCACGGCACACAAGGGGGTGTATGTGGCCAGCACCACGACCGGCCGCCTCATTCGAGGCTGAGTCGACCTAGGGGAGGCCCTGGACCAGTTCAGAAAATTGTCACTCGTGTTGGCCGTGAGCGGGCATCGAACCAAGTCGCCGGGTTCTTAGCGCAGCGCGCTACCGCTCCCCACACACACTCACACACAACTCAAGAGTAACGATGACGGTCATCGGTAAATTGTCGCACGACGCCGCCTCGGCGCACCTGACACGGGGTCGTCCAGCCGCACGTACTGCCCGGCAGGCAGGTCGAGTAGCTGGTAGCTGACCTCGCCATTGGGGCCCTTGTCGGGGTCGACGGCCGACACGGAGAGCAGTGTAGTGCCGGGCAGCGCGCCCTCGATGACCGCGTCGCTGAAGGCCGCCACGCCGCGTGGGCGGAACCACGGCGCGTTGTCGTTCACGTCCACCACGCTCACCGTCAGCACGGCTGGCCAGCGGATTGGCGGCACAGCGGGGGTGATTATTGTCACATTAACAACAGTAAATGCGACTCTACTAGCGTGTGCCTACTTGGCTGAGCTGGGCCACAGCGTCATCGACTGCGTCATTCAGTGCTCTCAGTCCTCCGCCCAGTCTGGATAATGGTAATCTTCAACTGTGCCGCACAATGCATGGAGAGGCCTACATCCTGCAGTTAATTGAGAGAAGGGGCTGTAAATCTACATATTTATAAAGGGGAGGGGGGGGGGGGCTTGCAGAGTCTCAAGACTCTTTATCCCAGGTGATCCTGCATTGGGATGATTGGCCAATTCCTTTTTTGAGAGTTTTGCCCACAGGATATAAAAGCAGTTTCAGGAGAAATTTCATTATGCATACAAGGGGACAAGACTAAATGAACTGCACAGATAATTTAAGAACAGACTGATGTTGTACAATCTCCAAATCAAACCTCGCAGCCAAAGCCTCCAAAACTTGGTATTTACAGGAAGTCTCTCACCTAAGATCGAAACCCACTAAACTTCTGGGATCTGACGAGACTGTGGACATTCAAGTTGATTGGGCTCAATGCCTTTGCAATCCCGTAATCATCGGAGACTCTGCACCTCTGTACAAGTTATATTTGTTCGAGTTACTCTTGCTACCGACGCACGAATCTGTTGCCGCACGGTACCATTGGGGTTGCTGACGGACACGTTGATTGAGCCGCTGGCCTTGTCCCGCACGGAGACGGTGAGCACGTACGAGGCCACCTTCTCTCGATCCAGCGCCGAGTTGAGGCGCACGTCGCCTGCACGAGATGACAACGGTGGCCACGGTGGAGATCATTTCTCAAACGTATCTCCACCCAACCGCTCGTCGCTCATCAGCTATCCCCATCAATGATAGCTCAATCAGGAATCATCTGGCAATCACCAGCCATTATCCATCAGTACTAATATTTAGGGACACATAATTCATGATGGGTGATGACTCTAGTAAATAAGAGTTTCAACGCACTGAACCAGTGCAGTTAAGAAACTTAAATAAATTATCCGTTATTCTTGTAACGTTGTTTATTGTATTGTTGCATATTGAGGGCCGTTCTCCAATGTGATGAGTGCCACTGCTGTTGGAGTGAGTGCCACAGAGGGAAACGCATGGCAATGCGGATAACACAGGGATGTATGTTGATCTTCTTTCGCACCAGATGTAGCCAACTAATGCTAATTGGAGGTGTGAGGCAAGGACAAAAAATTAAACACAAAAACAGTGCACAGCTTCAGTGGCTTCCTAATATCGTAAGATGGCCGCAGAAACACATCAGGGATGTAATCGATGTGAAATGTCGTGTAGGAGAGAAAGGTGAGACCTGTGGTGAAGTCGATAGCGAAGACGTTCGACTGGTTCGGCACGATGGCATTGGCGTCATCGTAGGCCAGCACCTCGATGATAAAGTACTCCAGCTGGGGGTTCAGATCGAGGTCCAGGGCGGTCACCTGAACAAAGGTCACAACGCAGTTCACCACCCGCCCATTCAAACCGCCCAGTCACCCAACAAACCCACCCACCCAAAACCACCCAACGCACCCACCCACCTAACGCACCCTCTAACGCACCCACCTATCCAACCATGTACCCACCCACCCACCCACGGATCCACCCATCCATAACTACCCAGCCATTCAATGCACCCAACCCACCGAGCGACCCAATGCACCCATTCACCTACCCAACCAGCTACACAACACCATATTCTTAGGTTTTTTCGGTAGAGTCACGTAGGTAAAACATAAAAATTAATAAAAGTAAAATAAAATAAAAATCACGACGTTTCGGAGGCAACACAAGCTTCCGTCTTCAGCAGGAACCGTCACAGCCACGACAGCTGTATCAAGTAAATGAGAGCTTGCAGGAGCTACCACTCCGTTTATATATGGTTGGAGAAGGGTGGGGGGTAAGGGCCAAATACAGCACACTTTTTATTAATATGGTAAGGTGAGGCTTAAGAGGGTGAGCCTTTGTTATGGAGAGGTACGGTTTGTGACTCAACCTGTGACAAGGAGACAACCACTAAACATGGTAAGTTAAATCTTTTTTGCATGGTTAATCACATCTTTCCAATGATTACTCAGTTTGTAACCGTCATCACGGTTGAAATTATGTCTGTTTGTATATTTGTATGGCTTCATGTACAAACCTTTGATGGTAGCCAGGAGGTTTGCAGAGAACCTTGGTCTCGGAAAAGACAATTTCATGAGAGCCCACCCAAATTGTCTTTTCCGAGACCAAGGTTCTCTGCAAATCTCCTGGCTACCATCAAAGGTCTGTACACGAAGCCATACAAATATACAAACACAGACATAATTTCAACCGTGATGACGGTTACAAACTGAGTAATCATTGGAAATGTAATGTACAAATTTGAGCGGGAGATGACTTGACGGGTAGCACACTTTTATTAACACCAACTCACTAACACGTGTGATCAACTGCAGCCTATGCTACGCGGTTCCCCTGGCTACACACACACGGGCTCTTCCGCCCCGTAGCTTCGAGGGAACCCACCCCAACTGGAGTCTGGGTCTCGACCACTGGTTCCCACAGCCTCACCCTTACAAGGACGTCAGGCCGCGGGTCCCACGATCTCGCCTCTAAACCGCACAGGGTCCCGGCCCTTACAAGGACAGCGGGACTAGGGGTCTCAGGGCCCTATCTCTTCCAACTCCGTCTTCGATCTTCACTGGTCAACAACTCCCCGAGCGCTCCCGCGCATCCCCCTTTATAGTCCTCTGCTCCCAGGGAGACGGAGCCCATGCGGACCTCGATGAGAGCACCCACCCCCGTTGACCAATCACCACGCGCTGCCACACGATCCTTTTTCCCATCTTGTGTCAGCGCACATAACCACTCACCACGCGCCGCCACACCCGACGCGCTCACACACGCTCCCCCCTTGTCAGCGCGTACCGCCACTACATCACCCCCCACCACATAGCTCGCAGCCGGCCCGGCTGCTAAGAAAAAAACTCCCTCCCCGTGTGTGCCCCGTAACACCAACAATAACCACCACAACACAACAACATAACACAACACAACACAACAAGAACTCCGCGAATCCCGTAAGAATCAGAACACGCCACCGTAACAACAAGTATAATATGTACAAACCACCGAGTGACAAAAATAAACTATATACAAGAATGACCCGCGCAGCATCCCTCCATTTCCGACCGCCCCTTGGACGGGACATTAGACCAGACCGAAGGGGAACGCCGCGACGAGATGCAACCCCGGGACTCCTTCTCCACCCCCTTCAGGAAAAGTGTCGCGTTTTAGCACGAGTCCGCCTGGCCGATCCGTCGTACGGCACCAGACGCGGGTGACCGTCAGGTGGCGCCGGCAGTCCAGGAAGGCACGGGGCAGGCATCGGAGATCCGCGCGTGCCTCGGGGTTCCGGTTTCCGACGGTCAGCAGCCGTCAGGTCCAAGACACCTGGGAGTGGATCAGGCGGAGACACGTGAGGATCAGGCGGCGACATGTCCCTCCCCGAGTCGACGGCCACATCACACGCTCGGTCGTCACGACACAAAGGGAGGCCATGTGGCGCCGCGAAAGGTTTCAGACGGGAGGGGTGAACGTACCAGCGGCGTTTTCCCCATTTAATCTGAACACACTGGGGTCGCGCAATACGCACGACTTCCACAGGTTCCCTCCATGGCCTCAGAAATTTTGGGGACGTAGCCAACAGTCCATGTGGGCAGTGCAGCCAGGCCTTATCGCCTGGTTTCCAATTGTGCGTATACACCTTCCGTGCCTGCAATTTTTCGTTAGCGATCTGGCGAGATCTCGAATTCAACCTCGCAGCCTCCCGCGCTTCAGCCAGTTTGGCGATATTAAATTTGATGTGGTCGGACAATTTTGATTTTGCACGCGGCTCGGAAATCCCCAGTTGGGTATCCATGGGCGGATCGGCCTCTCGACCATACATGATAAAAAATGGGGAAAAGCCCGTCGCCGCATGGGGGGCCATTCTATACGCCGCGAGGACCCCAGGTACCTGTAAGTCCCAGTCAACCTGATCGTCGCACACCTGTTGACACAACATAGAAGTAATCGTCCTGTGGAGACGTTCAACCATTCCATCAGTCTGTGGGTGGTATGGGGAGGTACGCACTTTTTTCATACCCAACAGGTCGCACACCTCGCGCAACAAAACGCTTGAAAAATGTTTTCCCTGGTCAGTTAGCAAGCGTTCGGGGGCGCCTTTGTCCAAAACATAGCCCTGGACAAAGGCGTCCGCCACTGCCGCAGCCGATTGGTTGGCGAGTGGCCATGCCATGGGCGATCGGGTGAAGTATTCCACGCCAACTAGCAGGTACTTGTTACCCCTAGGTGTAACGGGAAAGGGCCCCAAGATATCGAGCGCGACCAGTTCGTTCGTGCGCGAAACCTGGATGGACTGTAGCGGTGGATTAACCGCTACTGGCGGCGGTTTTCTTTGAGCGCACCCCACACACCCCTTGAGGATGTTCGCCACGTCGCTCCCCATACCCGGCCAATAATAGTCCCGCTGGAGTAGGGCGAGCGTTTTATGAAATCCCAAATGCAGGAGTCGTTCGTGAGCAGCTAGAACGACCCTACCCCGCATAGCAGATGGCACAACGAGCGCATGACGCCGGGACATATTGTCCCACTTCATCAGGAGGCCCTGTCTGACCACCCAGGAGCCGACCCCCGTCTCCACCCCCTCGGGACTCTCTGCCTTTCGACGCAACGTGATTAGGGAGCTGTCAGCCATCTGGAGACGGCCCCACTCAATAAGAGGCAATGTGAGTAACGAGTCCCCGCATGCGGGAGCGGCAGGTACATCGACCCGTGGAGCATCAGTGGCGGCGAGCAGAGCCTCCGCGGGGACGGCGACAGGGGGTTTACACCGCGCCGATCCCAGAAGACATGCGCATTCCGAGCGAGGCGACAATCGCGACAAGGCATCCGCATTCGAGTGCCGCAATCCCTTACGGTAAATGGTCGTGAATTGGTAGTCTTGGAGGACCTCCAACCATCGGGATAACTGACCGGAGGGTTGGGCAACCCGCATTGCGTACTGGAGCGCCGCGTGGTCCGTTCAAACAGTAAAATGACGGCCGTAGAGATACGGCCTGAATTGCTGGATAAAAAAAACGATCGCTAGCAATTCACGACGTGTCACACAGTAGCGCTGTTCCGCTGGTGACAAAACTCTGCTGCCGTAGGCGACCACTCGTTCGACACCCCCGACCACCTGCGAGAGCACTTCCCCGATACCCGTGTTACTGGCATCCATGTCAAGCAGGAACGGTTGCGTGAAATCGGGGTAACACAAGGGAGGAGCCCGCACTAAGGCATCCCGAAGGGAGCAGAACGCAGCCTCCTCCTCCGGCCCCCAGTGAAACTTTACCCCTTTAGCCGTCAAAGAATGTAGGGGCCTGGCTATGGTGGCAAAATTTTCGACAAAACGGCGGTAGTAGGAGGCGAACCCTATGAAGCTGCGGACCTCAGTGACTGAGGTTGGCGTTGGCCACGAGCTGACGCAGTGCATCTTAGCAGGGTCTGTAGAGATCCCTGAACGGCCAACGATATGCCCCAAGTAGCTCACCGATTCCCGAAGCAGGTGGCATTTCCCTGGTTTAAATTTTAACTTAGCGGAACGCATCCTGAGGAACACCCCCCTTAATCGTTGGAGGTGCTCCTCAAAGGTCCGACTGAAAACGATGATGTCATCGAGGTAAATCAAGCAGGTGTCCCATTGGAGACCTGACAAAACCAATTCCATGAGCCTCTGGAACGTGGCGGGAGCGGAATGGAGCCCCATTGGCAAACGATTAAATTGAAATAGGCCTCCCAGTGTCCGGAAAGCAGTTTTTGGTTTCGATTCCTCATCGAGGGGCAATTGCCAAAATCCCGAAAGCAGGTCAAGCGTCGAAAAAATACACGCCCCTGCCAAGGCATCTAGAGACTCATCCATTCTGGGGAGTGGATACGCGTCGGCCATCGAGATTTTATTGAGGCGGCAGAAGTCTACACAAAAACGCAAGGACCCATCCTGTTTTTTAACAAGGACGATGGGAGCACCCCATGGACTGGAAGAGGGCGAAATGATGTCGGCAGCCAGCATGTCATTAACAGCCGACTGCACATGCTCCTTCTCGGCTGGGCTCAGCCGGAAGGGATTGTGCCGAATTGGGGCCGCATCACCCATCGCTATGTGGTGGCGCAACAGGTCCGTGCAGCCAATATCGTATTTGTGTCTGCTAAACACATCAGAAAATTCGAGTAGCAGGCCCCTCAACGCTCCCAACTGCACACTAGACAGGTTACTAGAACCCACACACAACGAGTCCAACCATTGTGTGTCCTCCCCCGATGGAGGATGCGGATCCAGGGTAGAATCGACATGTGCAGCGAGCTGCTCATCTACGGGCAACGGCGCCGCGTGCGCAAGCACGGTGCCCTGTGTAATAACAGCTGGCCGCGACCCCACGTTCAGAACCATAACGAATGGATCTCTGTCCGCCCGCACCATGGTCTGAGCTACCGCCAAGTCGAGGCCCCCAACAGCTTTGTTTGACGGCCCCAACAGGACACTCTGTCCCGCCGCATCCACCCCGAAGGGTTTCCGTAACCGAAGGGGTACCAGCATCTGCGATCCCGGGGGCACGCGCACCGTCTGAGTTGCCAGCGCCTGGACTGTTGCACAAACCGTGCGTAGTTTGGTAGGACTTGCCAAAAATGCAATACGCCGACCCGATGGAAGCTCAATACAGGCCTGATCGACGAGAATTTTAATGGGCATTTTAGCCAAAAAGTCCGTACCCAGTAAACACGGAACTGCCAGGGACGATGAAACCAAAATAGGACCCGCCAATTTAATATCTCCGATACAAATGGTCGCCCGAATCTGGCCGACAATCCCCAAAGAGCCCCCGTTCGCCGCATTACATGGTACGTCCACCGGGAGTAGGGGTCGACATTGGACGGGGAGGATGTTATAAATAAGGTCCGAAATGATAGTGGCCGACGCACCTGTGTCCACCAGTACCCGGACCTCAACCCCGTCAATAAATCCCGTTACCACGGACGACCCGGCCGAAGCAGCCACTATTCTGTGGGCCAACTCGGACCATTTGACTGCTCCCAGGCCGTGTACGAACCCTCCTCGCCGAACCGAATCCCCGGCCCCCATGCGTGTTCCCCCCGCCGCGAAGCGGCGACCCAAGTGTGCCGTGTATGTGGACCGAGCATGTGTGGTGCCGCGACTTGCCGGGGGTAGCTGGGACGACTTGGGCACCTTGGTCGTCGTCCGGACATGGTCCCGAGGCGCGCTGACACGAAGCCAGGCACCCGGACGCAACGTGACCCCGAAGGCCGCAGTTGTAGCACATGACGAGAGACGTCGCAGGTTTCGGTTGCTCCAGCTTGCGGGACGATTGCAGGGGCGAACGACCTCCCGATCTCCACTCCCCCGGTCTTGCCACGGTGAAGGCCTCCTCCCGAGATGGAACAGTCTGAGGCTCGGCGACCATCGGGGCAGGTGTCGCAACTCCCGCCGATGCACAGACGACCGTCCGCTTCCGCTTCAGGACCTCGTGTGCATGGATACTCGTAGCAACCCCCAAAGAGCAAATGTCCATCTCGTCCGCCGTATTGATGGGGACCCCCAGGTCCTGGGCCAACGCCAGCAGCTGCTCCGTCACCATGGCGTCCTTCCCCTCCTCGTCCATGCGGGGAAAGGCGGCGTCCGCAAGGGCGAGCAGCGCCGTGCGGTAGGCGAGCGTAGTTTCCGTGTCCCCTTTACGCTGCTCGTAGAACTGGTGGCGACAGGTCGCGGGCGGTCCAAACACTTTGGCCATGAGGTGTAGCGCGGCCTGGAGCATGGAGCGGGACAATCTTGGGGCGGACCTGAAGGCCGCGAGTGCGTCGTCGTCCAGAGTCGCTGGCAGCACACGTAAGGCCGTGGCATCGGACCACCCCGACATTTCTTGATGTGCGAGAAACCTTCGCTGGAAGGCTCCCCAGTCGCCCCCCTCAGCCTTGAACGCCTGTCAGCGCGGGAAGTCTTTGTTGGAAGACTTGGTCGTCCTCCAAGAGTTGATTTTCCCGCGCGCCGCTATGGTTGAGAAGAATGGCGGCTCCCTCGGCAGGTGTTTCGTGGGGACTTTTGGCGCGCGCTGATGACGTGGGCTGTGATGAGTGGAGGTCCCCGACCACGTGGTGCCCCCGATTCCCGCCAATTGATGACGGATCAGCGAAGTTGGCGCCAATTTCAAAATTCGAGGCGCGAAGCGCATTCTGGCGGGATTCTTCGGCCCGTGCTCCTTCCTCCAGCCTTGTCGTCATTCTCGCGCCTCCAGAAGCGGTGATTTCCGCCAAAATAGAAGCGGCGGCGAGCAGCAACTCCGCCAGGCGGGAGTGTGCATCCTGGAGGCCGGTGTCGGACCCCAGCGGAGCGTCGGGCATCGCCGCGAGGTGCTGTAGTGTCGGCATCTCCTCCTCCTCCCCTCCCGAGGCTTGCAGTCCCGGTACGTCGTGGTCGTCTTCCCGATCTCGCTCGTGGGTACGGGTAGTCTTCCTAGTATCCATTCTTTGAAGACAGGTTCACTTCTGACGCCAGTTGTAATGTACAAATTGGGCGGGAGACGACTTGACGGGTAGCACACTTTTATTAACACCAACTCACTAACACGTGTGATCAACTGCAGCCTATGCTACGCGGTTCCCCCGGCTACACACACACGGGCTCTTCCGCCCCGTAGCTTCTAGGGAACCCACCCCAACTGGGGTCTGGGTCTCGACCACTGGGTCCCACAGCCTCGCCCTTACAAGGACGTCAGGCCGCGGGTCCCACGGTCTCGCCTCTGAGCCGCACAGGGTCCCGGCCCTTACAAGGACAGCGGGACTAGGGGTCTCAGGGCCCTATCTCTTCCAACTCCGTCTTCGATCTTCACTGGTCAACAACTCCCCGAGCGCTCCCGCGCATCCCCCTTTATAGTCCTCCGCTCCCGGGGAGACGGAGCCCATGCGGACCTCGGTGAGAGCACCCACCCCCGTTGACCAATCACCACGCGCTGCCACACGATCCTTTTTCCCATCTTGTGTCAGCGCACACAACCACTCACCACGCGCCGCCACACCCGACACGCTCACACACGCTCCCCCTTGTCAGCGCGTACCGCCACTACAGAAAGATGTGATTAACCATGCAAAAAAGATTTAACTTACCATGTTTAGTGGTTGTCTCCTTGTCACAGGTTGAGTCACAAACCGTACCTCTCCATAACAAAGGCTCACCCTCTTAAGCCTCACCTTACCATATTAATAAAAAGTGTGCTGTATTTGGCCCTTACCCCCCCCCCCCCCTTCTCCAACCATTATATAAACGGAGTGGTAGCTCCTGCAATCTCTCATTTACTTGATACAGCTGTCGTGGCTGTGACGGTTCCACCTGAAGACGGAAGCTTGTGTTGCCTCCGAAACGTCGTGATTTTTATTTTATTTTACTTTTATTAATTTTTATGTTTTACCTACGTGACTTTACCGAAAAAAACCTAAGAATATGAATCCTTGCAGTCACGAAAGCGTCAAATCTACACAACACCAACCAACCACCCACATCATCCAGTCACCCAAGAAACCCAACCTACTCAAAACCACGCAAGCCACCCAACGCACCCACCCATGCAACCACCCACCCACGTACCCACCCATTCAGCCACACATGCACGCACCAACACACCCACCCACCCGAACCACCCAGTGCACCCACCCACCCAAAACCACCTGCCCAGCCACCCACGTGAACCATCCAGCCACCCAACCAACAACCCAACCAAAATATTGTCTGGCTAGAAGATTTCCTGGATCTGGGAATCACACTCCTAGAAGTAGATAGGAAGGCCAGAGACACAGTTGAAGGATGATGCTGAGCCATTCAGCTACAATGAGCAAGTAATGAGTCAATGAATCGTGCCATTAGTATTGCTATCATTGTGCTTGTTTACCCAAGAAATCCTCATTCACTCTCAATACTCTTTTAAGGAGGGTCCTCCAGAGTTTTCAATGTCGGGGGCGATGTTGCTACGTGTCATCTCAATTGAGTAATGTGCAGCTATTTCTTTCAGCATTGGAATATTTAGCTAATGTCACTTACATTCTCTGTTGTTTTAGCGATAGGAGGAAACTGGCAAACCCAGACGAAACCCATGCAGCAACAGGCAGAGATCATAGAACCCCCATAGAAAAGAGCCCGAGTTGGGAATCGAACCCAGGTACTTCTTGCCATGAGGCATAAACGTGACCAATGCGCCACCACCCTGCCACCCATGCGCGATTCTAGCGAACTGGCGTTTGCGTGGGACGGGGACTCGGAGACTGGGCCTTCACCGTAGCCACGAAGGAGCCCACGGAGAGTGACTCGAGCACGGACACAGTCTGCACGGGCGCCAGGAAGGCCGGGCGCTCGTCGTTCACGTCGTCCACAAGCACCCGCACGATGGCGCTACCCGAGAGCGGGGGGTTTCCCCTGTCCACGGCCACGACCTGCATTGCAACAGCACGACCACACACGCACACACGCACATATGTATGTTGAACTTCTTTCGCTCCGTACATCGCTAACCATACTAATCGGAGGTGGAGGGGAAAGACAACAAACACAACACCACACAACTACACAGCCACACAACCACAGAACCACACACGCGCACAACCACACACGCACACAGTGATGAAGTCAGGGATGCAATGAGTTAAAATCCACGTCTGGATGACTTCATTTCTTCAGGGTTGAGGATCACGTCATGAGCAGATGAGAGCGATCGTTCTGGGACCGGCTCAGAACAATGGGAATGTGACATTTCCACCACTCCATGCTGGCAAGGAGATGACCATGGCCCCTTTGCTCGATAAGCAGGGAGACACTGATTAGCGTGGCTATGATGACTATAAGCGTGACTATGACATCATTACTGTTATTATAGCGGTGCCATGTTATAAAGATCAATGTCAAACAATGACAGATCAGGGACAAGCTCACGATTAGCCTCACCCTGCAACCCTGCAGATCCATCTCTTCTCCCTTGTCCATCCTAATACTGCCTGCCCCATCCCACAAATACAATCAGGCCTACTCCAACCCCTATTACTTCCCCAATCACTACCCCTATCACTACCCCTATCACTACCCCAACCCCTACCCCTATCACTACCCCTATCACTACCCCAACCCTCATCCCTACCCCTATCACTACCCCTATCACTACCCCTTATCACTACCCCTACCCTAACCTCGATCACTACCCCTATCACTACCCCAACCCAACCTCTACACCAACTCCTATAACTACCCCTACCACAACCCCTATCACTACTCCTACTCCAACCCCTACCCCAACCCCTATCACTACCTCAACCCCTCCTTAACCACTCCCACCGCTCCTCCTAACTGCCACCATAACTACACCACCACTTTGAATAGGCCCACTCTTTATCTCAACCATGATCATCTTACGTACAATGTTACAATTGTTGCAAAGCGCCTTGGATTAAGGCGCTATACAAATCTAGAAAGGTGAATGGAGATTTACAGAGCACGATGCCCCCTGGATAAACATGCATTATTTAAACACATTGAATTTCAACCTGAAGTATGATGCACGTCTTACAATAACATGTTGCTGTTACAACAACTATTTTAATTGCAAAATAAAAATTTTGAAGAAAAAAAAACTAATGACGTTTTTCAAAGATACTCCTAAAGTTTCTTTCACAAATATATACATGTAATTTGCCAAACCCACGGCTTTGATATCTAACAGTCACTTTGAGACTCTATTGCATATCTTCCACCATGAGAACACGCACACATAAAGCTGTTGCGGTATGTCACATGTGAGAGATTTGATGCACGTGTGTCTCCGTTTCCCACCGTGAGCGCACGAGTGTGCATGAGACTCCTCCACTCGCATGCTCCTGTGGTCGCGTGCTCGCGTGCCTCACCATGAGTGTGTAGGCGGCCCGCGTCTCGCGGTCGATGTTGGCGCCCGGGGCCACGCGAATTATGCCGTCGCTGGGGCCGATGCTCAGCTTGTCCCCACCGCCGCTCTCGATGCGAAAAGTCACCTGACCATTGGGGCCCGCATCCGCATCCGTGGCCCAAACGGAGGCCACCAGCGTTCCTGGTGCCCCAAGCAGGACAGACGATTACTATGTCGCCTTTATAACCAAGTAAGGGTGGACCAGTGGGGTGGTGGTTAGAACATTGAAGCTGGGAACCTGTATACTTGAGTTCGGTGGCGAGTAATATATGAATCTATTATGGGCCTCCAACACCTAATCAACCTATCCTGACCAGCGTGGTGAAGTATGTTCAAACAACTGCCATGACCAACGTAGCACAGGGAGGCAGTGGTTAGAGTAAACAGCCCCCCCCCCCCAAAGAGTCACTTCTTTATTTCAGGTGTTAATGGTATCTACTCACAAGACTTGGTCAACTTACATTGTCAGACAGTACAATAAACGGGTTTAAGAGTTATCTTTCAGACCATACTCAAAAGGTACATAGTGATAACATCTCATCCACAAATATTAAAATAAAAAGGGTGTTCCACTAGCTTCCATGATGGGTCCAATTCTGTTCGTATATTTCAACAATTTTGGATTAAACTTAAATTAGTCAGAATTAAATCTCTTTGCTGAAATGCTAGTATCAGGTAAAACTCCAAATGAAGTCAAACAGATGGACCATACAGGACCCACCATTGTGATCTCCACTTGATGCACGAAGCAATCAACATTAGGCCATGTTCATCCATAAAATCCTTATTGGCAAATCTGTGCTTTACTTAGATAATTATCTAATTCATTAACCCCATTGTCAAACCCAAGAAACCTAAGACGTCCATGAAATTGCCTTTTAACTATCCATAGAACAACAATTGGAACAGGTGACACAGCTTTTGCCATTGCAGCACCAACGTTTTGCAACAACCTTTCTCCTCCCTTAACATTGTGAATCTTCTTTCAAAAAGAATCTTGAAGCAGAAGATTAGTGCTGGCTACAACCACATTTGCCGATGTGATTTGTAACG